AAAAAAAAAAAAAAACATGGTTGCGCCACGGCCGAGGTGTCTCGGCCACACCCCAGATTGGCCACGGCCGAGATGTCTCAGCCACACCCCAGATTTTTTTCGTTCTAGCCGCGGCGCGAGCATATGACGGAAAAAAAAAAAAAAAAAGTGATGTTTTTTTTGCCGATTTGAACTTGGACGACGAGGATGTTGCCTTTCAGCTGTTTTTCTTGCCTTTACTCACTCCGACCTGACAAACCTGCCTACGGAGTGATGTTTTTGCCCATTCGGAAGTGCACCTGTGACTTCAACGTACTTGCCCTTTTTTGTTTTTATTGTTTTTGTTTTTTTTTGCTGGGACCTTCCCTGGTCCTTGCATGGCAAGGGCACCCGGGTTAAACAGGGTGACCCGGGCGGGCCGGCTGTTAGTCTAGACCATTCCTCAATTTACGTGTGTCATCCATTCATAGGGGCCAATGGGCCATGCTACTTTTCTCTGTAGCGGATACCCCCAAGACCGTTTTTTTTTGGGCAAGCCCTGGGGCTCAGACCTACTGCATTCTTCCCCCGAGTACAACGTACGGTCATTATGGCCGAGTTCAGACTGAAAGATACCCCAAATTCAGCTATAATGACTGTACATTGTATTCGGTGGAAGACTGTAGCATAGACAGCAATTGAGTGTGACAGTGTTTTTCCTTTTTTGTAATTAAAGATGTAATTTTTTTCTGTTTTGTTCGAAAATGAGAAAGTCATTTGCATCGTTTATTAAAAACCCAAATTTTGACCTCGGGGACAACGCATCCGTTAGAATTGGAAAGATACAGAGAAGATTAGCATGGCTCCTGCACAATCCGGTTCGGCGGGTGGTGGGCGGTGGCTGGGTAAAGCGAACAATGGCATAGGAAGCGAGATGTTACTAGAGAAAGGGACGCGGGACCCGGTTTCCGGCACAGTTCTGTCTCTGTCAACGATGTAAACTTGTAATGATGTATTCAATGGGACGCTGGACCCGGTTTCCAGCAGGTGATGCTCCCCACCAATAGATGGAGTGGCCCGCCAGGCAAGGCCTCTATCCTGGTGGTTTTCGCACCGCCACTGGGATGGAGGTGTTGTACAAGGGGTCTTGTTTCAAAAAAAAAAAAAAAAAAAAAAGGATGGAAAGAAAAAGAAGCCAAATTTGGCACATCGTGGGGGTTGTAACGGCCTATCTCTCCTGACGTTCACGCAAAGGCCACGGGCCTTCATGTTGTAGTGAGTCTGTTTGAACCGGTTTGCAGATTTTTTATTTTATTTTATTTTTATTTTTTTTCCCAACAGAATGAAAAGCCGTCAAATATTGACGTGGGCTGCGTATTGTGCTCAACCCACGGTATTCTTTAGTAAAAGGCGAAATAATAGTATGCAATTTGGGCACGCAGCTAGATGCAGAATATTTAGGTAACATGTAGCCAGATTACAGACCATGTGAGTGGCCTGCATTGATGGCAGGCGCTCTGACATGGGGCATGGATGTGGACGAAGAGCTTGGGGGGACGTTCACTATCCGTCACAGTCGTCCGTCAGACAAGTCAGCCTGCTCTGACATAGGGCATGGATGTGGACAAAGAGCTTGGGGGGACGTTCACTATCCGTCACAGTCGGCCGTCAGACAAGTCAGCCTGCAGTTGAGCGAAGTACCATGAATGGGGACGAAAAGCCTTTCAATTTTTGAAGCGGCTTCCATGAAACAAACGAAGGTGGGAAATCACCCCCCCCACCCAAAAAAAAAACGGAAAGCGAGTCCCCGCTACAGTGACTTCAGGAAAGTACAATACAAAAAAAACAAAAAAAATGCTGTATTTTGCTGTGACGCGGTTGGCTGGACGCCTGGAACGGAAGTTGAGAAATCAGAGGCGCGCAGAGCGATACTGCGCATTGATTTTCCACATGCATCGATGGCGGCAGATTGTCACCTGCCGCCACACGCACTCGAAAACCGAGCCCCATCTACAGCAATCGCTGCTAGTCGGTCCGTGCCCCTGGAGGGGACTTCCGAAACTTGGGCCGGCAGTGGAGGGTGGTCCCAAAGAGTTGTCCAACACACAATGCTGACACCTTTTAAGGAGTTGCCCAACACACAGTGCCGTTGTCGACAGTCTGCTTTTCTCAACAGCCCGTGTGCCCATGAAAAAGTGTTGAAATACCTTTCATGGTCTTTTTGGCTCTGATCAAGTGTAGCATTGTGATGCCCAAACCTCACGCCCAGCACGACTTCCTGATCGGAGTGGGATGGGGGCCCGGAAGTGTGAAAAAGGGGTGACACTGCGGTGAGAGGTGCGCAAGCAAGAAGCGCGGCGCAACAAGATTTCAGAGTACCTAAATTCCTAGTCTAAATCCTATTTGCAAAAAGAAATTCGGAAAAGACAGAAAAACAATTCCGAGAGCCCGTGGGGGTTGTAAATTTGAAAAACGCCATTCCCTCATGCTGATCGCGCCAAAATTCCCATCTCCCACAGCAGAACAAGAAAGAAGCGATGACAACCGTTATTTATTGTGCTAGCTAAGGCTTGTGTTTCAATACCGAGCCTCCCGGACGAATCTTCGTTGAACCAAGGCCCACAAGGGCCACGGTTCGAGACAAGGCCAAGCGACACATGGAACTGATCGAGAGGTCCCTCCCCAGGCTAGCCCGAAAGCGCCAGAAAATGACCGAGTTGGCCCACGACCGACAGGTCCGAAGCTACGAGGCCCGGAACGGGAACACACGTCCACGGCCCCAGTACAAATTGGGGGATATTGTGCAGGTGAGGAAATGTGCTCGTCAGGGTAAGCTAGCGCCACGATTCTTTAGGCGATTCCGCGTGATTGAGCTTGGACCGAATGGAGTGAACACCGTGCGCCTCGTGCCGGAGATCTCAGGAAGCTGATCGGCTCGGCCGATCGTTCGCCACGTGTCTTACCTATGTCCCCTCCCTTCTTCCCCATCTCCTACACCCTCTTCCTCCCCCTTGGCTACGGAGGCAGACGACGACTCTCCGCTCTCTTCCTCTCCCGCATCTCCTGCCTCTTCTCCTACTCCGTCCCCGCCACCATCGCCATGAGCTTTCTCACGGAGCGAGCCCTCGGCGACCATTTCAGCGATTCGGCAGGTTCGTCATCCACGACTCAATCTGGATCTCATACAACTGGCGCAGTTCTTCTGCACTTCGGGGGTGTACGCAGTGGCCGAGTTCCGATTCGTGGGTAGCCCTCAGGCGGTCGTGCTAGCAGAAGAGGTGGCCGTCCATAGGCGGTCATCTCCGGGGATTAGCCACGTGTCCACAGTCGTCGGCTTCAGCGGCGATATCAGTACGGTCAGCGCGCTAAGGCATACAGCCATCCGGACGTCATTCAGGGAGTGGGGGCAACAACTATCGATGGAGTGGAACCACTGGCTTACGCGCCACAGAGATAATCTTTTCCCCACGGACGACATCGAGCTTGGTGGCATTCGAGCGTTCCAGCACGAGCCAGCGGTGGTGCCGGAGCTCTTCCCCTTCCAGCGTCCCCAATGAACCGCTCTCAACTCTCCACCTTCGCTCTCCCCTCTCTCTTTCCCACCTTCTGGCACTCTGGAGTCTATCCTCGTTTCTCCTTCTGTCTAGAACCACTCGCTGTCCCCCTCCTAGATCCTAGGCAGTGGCGGCTGTGGTGTGAGCATTTCGTCGATTTTTCAATGTGCCTGGTCGGGCTTACGTGGACGAGGGACGAGGAACAACGCGAGTGGTTTGAGTATTCGGAGTTGATGATCGTTCAAGCCTGGAGAACTGACGTGGAAGGCGACCTTCTCAGATTCCTGTTCGGATCGGTGCACCCCAGTCATCGTCAGCCAATCACCTTGGAGCTGACGGTCCCCCTTGCGCAGCTAGCTGACGATCTTCCTCTTGAGATCGTCTCACAGAGTGACGAGAGCCCAGTCCCGCACGTCCTCATACGGACCTTGATACCGTATCAGCAGTGGTCAGCGTGCCTAGAGGAGCCGGGAAGCGGACACAACCCGCCGTCGCAGTGGGATTATCTGGACCCACGGGAGCTCCTCAATCTCGCCTTTTTCCAGGAACGGGTGGCCTCTGAGGACGAAGAAATAGAGATCGAGGAAGAGAGCGTTGAAGAAGAAGAAGAAGCCACCGAAGAGGACGAGGAGGAAGAAACCCCGGAGGAAGGCAATTACAGTGAGCACTGCGGAGAGCAGAGCGAAGAAGAAGACGAAGAAGAAGACGAAAAAGATGACGAGTTGGAATTGGAGGAGTCTGAGTGGGAGATCTTGGTGGAAGAGCTCGAGTGAACAGAAGCGGAGCAGACGGAAGATCCCGAAGCGACGCGCAAAAGAGACGATATTGCAGTCGGGAAACGACAACTGGAGTTCGCTAACACAACAAATTTGCGGATCACTGACGATCCGGCCCACGATCCCGAGCCGCCAAAGCCCGAAGATTGGGACCCTGCTGCCGAGACTTCGAGCGCACCGGCAAGGCGGCGACGAAGCCGATCCCCCTCCCCCTCCACCTCCGACCATCCATCAGTTCGAGCCCGTACTGATGTGGGGCATCGGGCTTCGTCCCCGGTCGTTATCCTGCCGTCCCCTTGACTACCTCACCCTCCGTCAAGTCACCACCCGTGTCACCTTCCCCCATAACCCCTTCCCCATCGACACCTTCCGATTTTTCTACGCCACTCGCCTCATTGTTACCATCCACCCCATCCCTCGACCCGATGCGCCCTCCCCGATTTCTACCTCCACACCCTTCTCCTTAGTGCTATGTGGCGAGGCCACAATATGATCGAAGTTTATGGCATGATTACGGGGACTATCCCCGCACGAGAAAACCACGATCGTTTTCGCGCGGCACTCTTCCGCACCTTTACCACCCTGTATCCCGACTACCTCGCCTCCCTCCCGCACACTGGTAATCGCTTCCCCCGTTTCCACCGGATCGTTCGTTACCAGGAGCTCCCGGAAACAATAGCCCAGGTAGAACGGTTCTTACCCCCGCTTCCGAGTAACCCTCCCCCTCGTCATGCCCCCATGTACCGTCTCCCCTTCCCCCTTCCTGGTGGACACTGGTGCTCGGTGGATTGATGTATGTGCCACGGTGATGGCACATATAATCACCTCCTTGGATTGATAAGAGCCCTCCTGAGGAATTTGTAGGACAGAGCTTACACACACCTTGATTGCATGATGTCCACACTCTTTCACACGGTAAGTTGCCATGCAGAAAGCTCCACTTGTCGATCGATCAGAGAGATTGACGCGTGTCAAAATTCAAGCAAGCAGGAGATTGCTTAAGATTGGAACCCCCCAAGCGTCATATATGTGACGAGCCGATTTTCGCACCGCGCGACTTTCTGCACGGCAGCGATGAGGGGTCCTAAGCTGGGAAGGATGGGCCAACAATGAGAGATTGGGATGGGAAAGAAATTGCATCGGTGTCCTCCCTTCTTCGTCCTTTTTCGTCGTCTTTTCGGATGGATGGTTTCGGGGCCGGGTGAGTCCCAGGGACGATCGATTGGTTGATCGGCGGTGTGAGTGGCGTGTCGTCGTGCACGTGCGCGAACAATAAATGTTGACGTCGCTTCTTTCGTTTCAGTTTTGGACTTTGGGGCGCAGACATCGCGCGGGGAATTTTGCTTCGTTTTAAATTTTCTTTCTGATTTCTTTTTTCTTCAGGTCTTGCCGAGCCCTGATGGCTCTCGTAATTTTGGACTTCCTTTTCGGAGTTTGTGCTCTTTGCTTTTCCGCATTAGATAGGAATTTAGGAATTTTGCAATCAGGACCTTCTTTTGCCGCGCAACGCTTTTTGCTTACACGCTTCTCAGTGCGGTTGCAACGAAACTCTTATTAGTCAGCGCCTTTAATCGGGTGTGTAACTGTAATTTTGGGCGGGCGCCATTGTAACTGTATCTTTCTTCTTGTGCTTCGTCTTTCCCGCTCTCGCTTTTCTTGCTGTGTCTAGCCCGCCCACGGACTACATGCTCGGATCGATGCGTGGAGCGAGGCTTTGTTCCCCACGCCGTGGTCTGGTCATACTAAGTCCCTATAATTCCGTGTTCTTCGCGCATGCATGCACGCTATAAATTCCGGCTGCGCGATTAGATAGCTCTCTTAAGCAGCTATTGGAAGTTCGGGGTAGCGCGATCAGTGAGGGTCGGCTCACGAGCGAAGTAAGAGGTAAGTTGAAGTGGGAGTCGGGCCACCGGACGAGCTGGTGCCAAACGCGCGGGGTTGACGCGGGCCACGACGGACTGTGGGCATGGGGGAACCTGATGGGTGCGGGAGGACTAAGCGGGGTGATGACTTTGTGGGTTGGTGCGTGAAGGCGGACTGTCCACATTGGAAGAGAGAGCGGGAGGCAAAGGGAGCTGAGGTTGATGGACGCGGATTTGTTGTTTCTTTTGTCTTTGCTCCCTCTTTGCTTTTGTATATATATTTTGATCACGATTCAGGGCAATTTGCCCGTTTTTGTTTTCGGAATCTTGACTTGGTTTCGGCTCACACTCGTTTTTGTGATTTCAATCTCGGATATGGTGTGTTATTCTGAGTGAATGGATGAATGGATGAATGGATGATATGTCTGTTTGTTTTCCTTATGCCTCATTCTTGCCTTTGCCTGATGTTTTGATACCCTCATGAGCATAGTAGGAAAGTTCGCGTAATCCTCACTATTGTTGGTTGTCCTCTTTGATCTACTGTTGTTGCTGCGAATGCGTAGTAGCACCTTGCATATTCAGGAATGATTGTGTGCGAATCATGGGATGATTAGATGATCGGGTAACTGTTTGCCCAGAAACCAGCGAACACCTCGCGGGGAAGCAAGTAAGCGCGATCTGACTTGTGCACTTACATGTGTCCACGTGCGTCGATTCGTAACCGCCCGCACACATGAAAAGAGCTAACGGTCGTGGGGATATTGATTGATTGGATGTGTTAAGGGGCCATCCTGCAGCCACAACAAAGCGAGCGTCCAGTGTAAACACGTGTAAGTGCGATCCAATTCGCACAATTTACACGTACTCACACGCGGTGATCGCAATCGTCGAATATTGGGACCATCACGGAATTCCTGAACGTTGAGCGCGGAAAGTCCTCAGCCAAGCGACCATGCGCTAAGGAATTCCGCGGCTCCACCATGACAAGATGACGCGCTCGAGAGACTCAGACTCGTCGTGGGACCCGGAATACTTCACCCCTTGGATAGAAGAGTGCCTCCGATAAGTTCCGCGGCCTAACCGAGAATCGATTGTGTCCTAGGGAGTTCCACTGTGCCACAACCAGCGACCGATGGTGCTCTGATTTCCCCACTTCAGACCACACCCACTACTTTATTTCCCCCAGTTTTGTCGTTATATCCACTAACTTCTCTCCCTTTCGTCTTCTTCTCCCTTATCATCAACTCAGAGTCGTCCCGTGGAACGCCATAGCCCCATACTGGCCCAGCACGCCCTGCGGAAATTGTCGGCGACGCTGCAACCAGAGAGCCCCGGGAACCCGAGGGCCTAACCCAAACGTACGATGACCGGCGCCACGTGGCGACATCCGACGGCCTGACTCATCAGAACCACACCCACCCCGGATGGCACTTTCGACAAACCGTCGTCATCAAAACAGACGGATCGAACGGCCTTGAATGACCCGCGCATGCCATTTGCCTTATGACCGGAAGCGGTCTGCCCTCTCAACCAAATTGCACCTGTGCCCCCGAAAAACTATGCCACATGAGATCTCACTTCTGACTTGGGACTCCACCCCCACTTTCCCAAAAATCCTTGGCACACTCCTTTTCGCACTTCCAGACCCACATCCTACTCCGATTAGGAAGTTGCGTTGGGCGTGAGTTTGGGCGTCACAAGTAATGCCCTATTTCATACAGCTTTGAACAATCTGAGCATTGTACAAGGGACACTGGACCTGGTTTCCAGGACGTGAAGCTCCCCACGAATAGATGGAGTCATCAACAGGCAAAAAAAAAAAAAAAAAAAAAAAAAAAAAAAAAAAAAGACGGTTGAATATTCTGAACGTTGGGTGTGACTCCTCTGTACTTGCCACTCTGTTTTTTTTTCAAGAGGTATTAGAACGGTCCTTGAAATGAAACGAGCGCTCGAAGCTTCTAGAGTGCCTGGAGTGCTGGAAAGTTCGTCGAAACCAGATTGGGGTTGTTGGGTAGTGTTATGGTGCGTTCAAGAGTGGGGCCGTCTACAGTAAATGCAGCAACAATGGCACTATGGGGCCTTTCAAGACTCAGAGGACTCTAAGACTGGAAGGGCGCTATTGGGCATTTCAAGCGTAGTGCAGTGAGGCCTAGGGCCTAGCTGCACTGCTCGCCATCCGTCACAATTCGTGGTGGATGCATGGAGAGTGAAAAAAATGAAAATCGTGTCGAACTTGAGGCCTTGTTGCACTTACTCGCCATAAGATTTCTTCTACAGAGAAGTTAATTTTTTTTGTCTACCTGTGATAGAGCCTGGCCTGGCCGGATGGACTCTGCGGAGCGCAGCGCTGCGCCCCAGTACGGACCGCGGCAGCGGAGTGATGCGACGAAGCGGGAGGGCGCCTGGCGTGAACCAGCTTCGCTCTGACGCATTCATACGGACGAAGTACTGCAGGGCGATGGCGTGACAGAGGCGCTGGTGGGGTGACGAGGTGTTGCAGGGCTGGGGGTCGAGCTTACAACAACTGCATGTTAAGCGTTTTGCGCACGCACGGGGAGCGAGGGTGCTTGTATATACCGTGTCACAAGTTGATAGGGAGAATAGACTGACTCCCGGGGGTTTTCTGGGAGTTCCGCGTTTATACTCCATTGCTGCCGCATTTTCGCCCATGGCATAGAGCCTGTGAGGTGTCGTCTCTGGGGATGCCTGTGGAGTTCAGCGAAGTGAGCCTTGGGTGACCCGAAGTGCGAGTGAAGTAGCTACCCGTCATCACCAGCGTTCTCGTTCATCAGCATCAGGGACCGGCCGTAACTCAAAGGAACATGGTGCGGTTTCCTCATCATCATCAGGGTTGTTCGTCATTGCCATCATCATTTCTCCATCATCACTGTTGTCGAGCATGACTCAAAGGAACAACGTAAGGGTTCCGTTATCATCATTAGGGGTGCTCACCGTCGCCACCAATATCATGAGGGTGATGCTCTTCATCATCATTAAGGCGGTAACTGGGGCCGCGAGCACCTTGTCAGTAATATTGCATTACTAGTATTGGAAACAAGGTAAGTTGGCTAGCGTGCAAGCACCTCATCCATATTTTACTATTTCAGGGTGCTAGGGCGCTGCCCATCCCTATTATCACCATCATTAGTGCATCACCACAGGGCGCGTTATTAGCAATTTCATCATCTTGATCGTAGTCATCAGTTATCATCGTCATCATTATCACCATCATCATCATTTACTT